ACATTGTAAAAATGTCACTTTTACTCAGGCAGAAGGCAAATAAGCTAATTCTAACCAGCATTATACTAGAGGTCTTAATTCAGTGAAATAAAACAAGACAAAATATAAAAGGATTAGAAAGAAGAAACAAAACTGAAATTATTCTCAGATGATATCATTGCCTGTGCAGAAAACACAAAATAATGTACAAATTTCTAGAACAGATAAGAAAGTTATGGAAGGTTGCTAGATATAAGAATATACAAAAATCTGTTAGCATAATTTCAAAAAATTTTGACTTGTAGCTTTAATAAAGTACTTAGAAATTTAATAAAAATGTGCATGACATTTGTGTTGAAAATCATCGTAGTTGACTGGGTACTAATAATACCCACTCTCTCAGCTTCTACATAACCACGTATCCACTTATAAATTCCCCATTACTTCCAGTGTTCCTTTGTCTATTAATTCCTGATCATAGTCAAAGGGATGTGTGAAAATAAGTCTTAACATGAGGTCTCCACTTTCTTATTCTTTTTCAAAATTGTTCTGTTATTACTGGCCATTTGCGCTTCCAGGTGAACTTTAAATTCAGCTCGTCAATTTACATACACAGGCACATGTTACCAGTTTCTATTTTAATTGAATTATTGACCAGTCTGTAGAAAATTGACATCATTATGATACTGAGTCTCCTCTTCCATAAATAACAATAACAAATAACAAATCTCACAGCATTTCTTCTGTTATTAATACAAGTCATTGAAAGGAATAATGGACTACTTAATGATTTCAGGGTAATTGACTACCCATATGGAAAATAATAAAATTAGATTTCTTATTTTGTACCATACATAAAAAATACAGCTGGAATAAAGAAAAGTACATCTGAAAAAGTAAATCTGAAAAGTAAATCTTTAAAATTTTATTTGAAAATAAAAACAACATCTTTATAAACTGAGGGTGGGAATGAATTTCTTAAGAAAGATATAAAGAGAAGCCTTGCAAGAAAAGATTGATAATATTTGATTACATTAAAATTAAAAACTTCTATTGACCTTAGCCAAGATACGAAATCAACCTGTGTCCATTAATGGATGAATTAATAAAGAAAATGTGATGTATATACATAGTGGAATATTACTCAGCCATAAAAAGAACACAATCCTATCATTTGTGGCAATGTGGATGGAACTGGAAGTCATTATGTTAAGTGAAATAAACCAGGCACAGAAAGACGAATATCACGTGTTCTCACTCACTGGTTTGGAGCTAAAAAAATAGATCTCATGGAGGTAATGAATAGAATGGTGGTTACCAGAGGCTGGGAAGGGTATGGATATGGGAAATTAAGAGAAGGTGATTAAGGGGTACAAAAATACAGTTAGATAGAAGGAATAGTTCTAGTATTTGACAGTATTAGTACAGTAGGGAAATTATAGTTAACAGTAGTTTATTTTAGTTATTTCAAAAAGCTAGAAGATTTGTAATGTTCCCAACACAAGAGATAAATATTTGAGGTGATGGATATCTCAGTTACCCTGATTTGATCATTACACATTGTGTACATGTACCAAAATATTACATGCATCCCAAAATATGTACAACTATTATATATCAAAAACATACAAAAAAAATAAAAACTTCTGTGTACTTAAAGACACCATAAACATTGTGAAAAGACAAATATAGACTAAGATACACTTACGATGGATTGACTTATAATTTTTCAACTTTATGATGGGTCTGTTGGGGTATTAAATGCATTTTCCTTCAACGATGGGTTTATCAGGATTTAACCTTATAAGTTGAGGAGCATCAATAATTCTCAAAGGTTTAGTGTATAGAATTTATGAAGAAATTCTATGAATAAGAACAGGACAAAACAGCCCAATTGAAAATGGCAAAGATAGAATTTACAGAAAATTTATTTCTCATATGTATAAGATACCTATATTTTAATGTTCCTGTATAGTAGAATCAGTAAATAAGCTGAGGCATGTTATGTAGTAAAATGCTAAACAGCAATTAGAAATGAACCAAATAATACAATACAAGCATTAAAGCAGGTAAATCTAAAATTATGCTGAGTTGAAGAATGTGAGTTTAAAAATATATACAGGCCAGGCGCGGTGGCTCACACCTGTAATCCTAGCTCTCTGGGAGGCCGAGGCGGGCGGATCGTTTGAGCTCAGGAGTTCGAAACCAGCCTGAGCAAGAGCGAGACCCTGTCTCTACTAAAATTAGAAAGAAATTAATTGGACAACTAAAAATATATAGAAAAAATTAGCCGGGCATGGTGGCGCATGCCTGTAGTCCCAGCTACTCGGGAGGCTGAGGCAGGAGGATCGCTTGAGCCTAGGAGTTTGAGGTTGCTGTGAGCTAGGTGACGCCACGGCACTCTAGCCCGGGCAACACAATGAGACTCTGTCTCAAAAAAAAAAAAATTTGATTTCTTTCGTTCAAAAACCAAACAGGAGTTGGTAGTGTGAATACCCCAAATAACCAGTAAATAATTATTCTTGTTTTATTCTATTTTTGGTGTATTTCTCAAGTGAGCCATTCAGTCAGCTGATTTCTCTGCCCCCTTTTAAATGTGCTCAACGATTTTGGTGAGGCAGGAGGCCGTCATAACTCTAATTATTTTTTGGTTTATCTGATTTTCTCTAGTAAAAATATTGAGTAAATGCTATATGCATGTTCCTATGAGGAATATAAAAATAAGGAAATTATTATCCCTGCTTTTAGCAAAGTTAACATTTAGTGTGGGAGAAAAAGGAAAAAAAATACAGATTTAGTAAGAGGCCAGATATTTTAAGTATCATCAGAGACAAAAACAACATGCAGTTGAAGCAAAGGAAACAGCATGCAGAAGCATATAGAAGTAGGAAGGTTTTGGGTGAATTAGTGGAACACAAAGATTTATAGTTGGAACATAGCATAAAGTAAGTTTAAATCACTCCAAGCTGCAGCATATTAGAATCTTTGCCTGCAGAGCCTAATAAAGAAGTAGATGTCCAGGCATTAAACCAGACCAGTTGAATCAGAATTTCTGAGAGTAGAGTCCAGGCGTCAGGTTTTTGTTATTGTTGTTACTTTGATTTTTTCTTTCCCCCCAAGCTTGAGAGGTGTTTCTAATGTATAGCTTTGTCTGAGAAATACTTATTTAGAGGAACAAAGGGAGCAATAATAAAGATGACTTAGGTCATATTATGCGGGCTCTTGAATAGTAGTCTGCGGCATTGGTTTAAAATTTAAGAAAAGTCCACATAGTGCCTTCCATAGCACCATGAATATTCAGTGTCTCTTGATATACCCTGTTGTCACACTTTATATTTTGGCTGGCTCATTCATTTAACCATTGTGTCGTTTGTTGGTGGTACCAAAATCAATAATAAAATTAATTTCTTACCCCCAGGGTGCTCCCAATATAGTATGTAAACTTTAGTTTTCCAATTGTGCTGTTGAACTCCCTTTAGGAACCTGATATGTATTGATAACTGACTGTCCTGTTGGGAAATGTTAGCACCTACTTATTTCTACAAAAAGCTAAAAAGCACAATTGCATAGACATCTCTGTTTACTATAGGCCAGGCCTATTAGTGTCTGTTCTTAAGCACCACAAATAGTTTTTCAAGGGTCCTGGGTAGGTTTTATAATATAGTTTGTTTTTGAATTTGAGTGGAAATAAACCTCAGTTGTAGGAAGGACCTCTAACATTTAAGCAAACTTTTAAGATGTATTGTTCATATTGGGCGCACTGCTTTAATGTATTTAGAGATGATAAGAACATTTATGAAGACAGCTAATTTTGTGAAAAGTATAGTGAGCATTTTTGTGGAATTTTTTCACCTGGAATTCATGGAAGGTTTTCTGTGGAATTGGAGGATAAGGGAAATCATAGGAAAAAATAGGTAGCCTTATTCTGAATATATACTTCATGGTTTTAAAGCTGTGGTTGTGTTTTATATTTTAGAGCAATGATAATGAGGAACGTCTACAAGTTGTTAAATTACTGGCAAAAATGTTTGGAGCAAAGGATTCAGAATTGGCTTCTCAAAACAAACCACTTTGGCAGTGCTATTTGGGCAGGTATATGATTTTGGTTTCCTATTTTAAAGTAAAATATGTCTATATCTATGTATTGTTCTTTGAAACACCATCCACTTTTAAGATGTGTTCTCTGAAATCATAAAAATGAAAAGATGAAGTTTTTTATAGAAATTTTTGAATGTTGATAATGGTTGGCTATATTTATAATTTCCCTTTTTATCTTCAGTGATTTTTAAAAGATGATACATTTTAAAAGCTATCTCACACAGTATTACAACTGTGAAATTAAAATGTATTATTTCAAAGTAGTGACGTAATTGCAACTGAAAGTACCTCTTATAGCCCTTCCATAAAATGTTATA